TTGAGGGCAAGGGGGAAGCTAACTCAGGGAGGATCACTGGGGTCTGCACGTATCAGACGGAACCGGAGACCACACGTATTTGGCTGAAAGTCATCCATGTTGCCGTGTGTGTGTGTGTGTGTGTGTGTGTGCGCGTGCGTGCGTGTGCACCGAGTGCCCTGCGTGAATGTGCCTTTGCAGGCCCGCGTGAGTGGGCAGAGCGTGCACGTGACCCCGTGTGCGTGCGTATATCGGGGCTGAGGGGTGGCAGCGCACGAGGGATGTTCTAGTCGCTGTAAATCCCCTGAGCTCTTTCAGAACTGACAGTTGGCTGTTTGCAGTTCACTTCCCGGCCTCTGAGCCGACCGAAACGAACGGAGGTGTGTCCTCATTTACATTTGTGTCCATTTCGAAAACATGTAATAGGATTTTAAAATTTTCGGGATCGAAACTGGCTTCCTACTTAGTTTCTCCACACATCTTCCCACAATCTAATTTTCGATGAACTCGCACCCGGGCCTGTACCCACACGTGATGGTTGTGCTTGTGTGGGTTCTGTTTTCCTTTCTCCCCGCTCTGTGACTCGAATAACTCGTGTGTTTTTTTTTAACATTTTTAAAATTTATTTTGAGAGAGAGAGAGAGAGAGTACAAGCACGAGCTGGGGAGGGGCACACAGGGAGAGAGAGAATCCCAAACAGGCTCCAAGCTGTCAGCACAGAGCCCGATGCCAGGCTCGAACTCACGAACCATGAGATCATGACCCGAACTGAAGTCGGATGCTTGACCGACGGAGCCACCCAGGTGCCCCTCCAATGACTCATTTAGCGAATGAAGGTGTCCTTTTCCTCTGCCATACTCACGTGGTCCCCTCTGCACAGACCTGCGTTCCCTGCACACTCTGTCACGCACTACACGTGTGCGCGCTCCTTTGCGCAAAGGACTGTCAGAGTTTTCTTCGTCCCGCATTTCTCACTCAGCAGTGTTTGTGAAAATGACCCGGGGCGTCTGGCTCTGCTGTCACTCGTCCCCCGCAGACGGCTGCACGGCCTGAGCCTCTCCCCCTGCCGTTGGCCTGTGACCCTCACGCGGGCCGGTCGTCTCACGGATGCTGTGCTCCGCGTCGGCAGGTGTTTGAGATCCTCCTGAGCCGAGGCTACTCGGAGAACAATTTCCGGGAAGATCTGAAGAACCTTTATCTCAAACTTGGGACCGAGAACAAAAGGATGATCTTCCTGTTCACGGACGCCCACGTGGCCGAGGAGGGCTTCCTGGAGCTCATCAACAACATGCTGACGTCAGGTACGTGGGCTGTGCTGGCCGGGTACCCGGCCAGGAGGAGGGGCCGCTCGGCGCGGGCCTGGTGGGGCCCTCAGAGATCAGAGGTCGTCCTTGGGCAATGATGAGATCTAGGCTTGTTCCCAAAGGTCCCTCTGGCCGCCCTGAGGGTCTAGACAACAGGAAGGCGAGAGCAGGAGAGGGTGGCTGGTTTGGAGCTGCCGCTGGGGTGTGCAGGCGACAGATGACCTGGGTCTGGACG